TTGGTCATTGGCCCAATTTGCTCTGACTTGTAGATAGCTACGATTGGTCAGCCAAGTCTCTCTAAATCACACATAATGCCTCTGGCGTTTAGACAACAGCAAAACATTTGTACTGAGCAGTACCACATTGCATTACAAAATATCTTTTTTATTTTGATTCCAAAACCAATTCCTCTAGGTCACCTTCAGGTCCTTGGTCCTAATGAAACATATGTGACAGGAAAGTTAGTTTTCTGCTCTATAATTCGCGAATCAAACAACCATAGATCAAACATTCTCTCTTCCCTCTAGTTATATAACCAAACAGCAAAGCTCAAATATTGAAAATAAACCTAAAATAATAGAAACAGAATTGACACCAGTAGTGTCACCAAACGTAGTCTGACACGAAAAGCGAGCTTTAAATTTTACAATGGGATGAAAGGTGTACTAGTAAGTCTTTTTATCACCGTTATCAAGCGTTTCTTAGTTTTTCAATCTTCTCCATATTACTTTATTTCTTTCTTACCCCCACTAACTTACTCACCTAGGTCAAACACAACCTGTGAATTATCAAACATGCTTGTAGGCAACACCTGCCAACGTCGTCAAACAGCGGTGGAATGGTGCCAACAGCTTTCTCATTTCTTCCTTTTCGGGTAAAATATCTTAATCATCCATTCATTTGATTACCTTGAATCAGAAAATGTCCATGTGTTACCTCATGGTTCAGGGTCATTTGCCAAGGACGACATAGAGTAAGCCAACTGTGCTGTGTTATCAGCCTGCATAATGGGTGATCTCTTGATTTATTACTCTATGCCAACAATGCACTTGGCACGCTCTGAATACTCTGTGATAGTGAGTTGTGATATCCTAGGTAAGGTGTGCTTACTTGTACAATTGAAAATGGCGACCGAGCCATTTACATCCTGTGAAAACAAAAGATAATGCCACATGTGGCGTAAGTAAACAGAGTAAACAGTAATTTTGTTTGAAACTCATCGTGAAAATTAAAATTTCCCCTTCGGGAGCCATGAAAATACTCTTGCAGACATCCCATCTACATTGACTTGACTAGTCGTATTTTGTTTTCAACTCATTGAGAACATATAGCACATTGCTATTGAACTTCGACCTTCTCTTTTGGTTTCCATACTATGATTGTTCATGGAGACATACCAGATACTACATTTGCAAATAAATTGGTACGATAAAAACGTTGGTTTGTAAGAAAGGAAAGTAGCACACTGTCAGGGGCTAAACTATAAACAGATATCTTGTCATTATAAAACTTGCAACTGAATGAAACATATACTTCACGGTTTCTGTAGTCAAAATGCAAACAAAGGAAACGCCTATGTTTTCAACCGCCAAAACAGCTGTCAAACTTATACAGTTAAGTAAAATCATATGGGTTTCTTATAAACAAAATTCAGGATGCTCTTGAGAAAACAAGAGTTTTGTATACCTGAACAAACCTAAATTAAACACGCTCGAAAGTTGTTTTCGAAACACTCTTTGCACTCATCATTAACGCTTCATCATTGCTTTGTATACATAACAAAAAGCGTAGAGCAAACCTCAGTGATTCATAAACTTAAACAAGTTGGTCGACAACGTAACAAGCGTCATTATAGTAATTACGTTGAAATAAACAGTTAAACAGCTGACCAATGGCAGAATAGACATCAATGTGACAGTGAGAGGCCTCGCCCACTGAAAACTGTTATGTTATCACGCACAGGCACCCACGTCAGTCGAAAACTGATAAAAAACGTCTGTCAACTAACAAATTGCCGAAACATCTAATCTAGTCACTTCGAGACAATCCACAATAATTGAGAGAACACTTTTCTGGTTGAAGTTCATGGAATATTTTAAAATCGTAGTCACATACATTTAAAGAGGTTTGAGAACTGTTCTTGTTGGCAAATGACTCTACAGTATCAGTTTTAACTATACAACATGAACTTGATGTGATAAAACATTTTATAGCCATTATAAAACTGTGGCCAATTTTGAAATAACAAGAAAGTCGACTCCATTGAACCTACTACAAAATGTGCTGCTAAAAATGCATTTCTTCATGATTTTTTTCAGTATGCTCAACTGAAAAAAGTGACTGTAAACTACAGCCTTTAAAAATGAGCAAGACATCTCTTTCATATATTAAATTTGTACCCAGTTTTAGAATGAAAATTAACGTATGGTGGTTGAATTGAACCACCAATTGATGCACTGATGCAAATAACGGAGTTTAATAACGACACATTGAAAAAATAACAGATTAAAAACTGTGACATCTTTTATGTCACATCAACTCTCGGTTACAAAAGATTGGGGAGAAAGTTAGTTTGAGGTAGTAGCGCACTCTAAAACGTTCATTCAACCACATTTGAAGTAATATAATACAATTAATTAATTATAATTATTAATTATAACAGGTTACGTACCTTGACGTCCACAATTCCTTAGTCGGTATTCGTTGACTATAGTTTCGACTACTGCGTAGTCATTATCAAAACGGAACGTTAAAATATTACATTCGTTGAATGTCGTCAGATCTTAAATACATTGAACACACAAACAAACATAACACGAACACGGTAGACATTTAACATAATTTGCCGGCCGGCACACGTCACTGAACAGGTCGACCAGTTCAGTGACGTGTGCCGGCCGGCAAATTATGTTAAATGTCTACCGTGTTCGTGTTATGTTTGTTTGTGTGTTCAATGTATTTAAGATCTGACGACATTCAACGAATGTAATATTTTAACGTTCCGTTTTGATAATGACTACGCAGTAGTCGAAACTATAGTCAACGAATACCGACTAAGGAATTGTGGACGTCAAGGTACGTAACCTGTTATAATTGATTACCAATTCCGGAAGGCTTCAACATGAATATAATTATTAGTTAATCTATGGTTCAACTTTGTTCCTTATAAAAAAAAAAAAATGCTACGTCTGAATTACTTTAGTATCATAGAATTAATGCTATAGCATAATGTAGCTCTATCTGCATCAACAATGACTTCAGCATCAGCACACTATCACACTATGAAAGGTTTATACTACTATGTGTCTGTGAGTGTGGTAAAAGGTTTGCGACAGCTAATCCTTATATTGTAAGTGAATAAATAATAAATAATTAACAATAATTAATAGTTAATAAATAAATTATAAATAATTCATTATGTTAAGTCCGCGCTATCTAAAATCATATTGTCCCACTCTACTATAGTTTATACGTAAACCGTTCGATCAACTGTTTTTCAAGTCTTCAACAGCACTCGGGAGCTGCAGTTTTCCGTTCCGGTGAGTTGGTCACAGTAGTCAGTTGGCGGTTACGCAGATATATTGCGTGGGTTGGCCTGTTTGTAGCAGCCGGGAAGCAACAGCAACCTGCAGCCAGATTATTCGTATTTTGTAACGCTGTACCCTAGAAAACCAACATGTTTATTAAAATCACCCGAAAACAAGAATGAATTTACATAACCCCACTTGGAACACGATCGGTCTAAATGGACACGATTAATTATCTTCGTGGGCAGGAACGATCTTCTAGTCTTGTAACGCATAAACAATGGCGAAGGCCGACCCTTAAAAGCGAAACTACGGCGAAGGAAGGATGTTCTGGAAAACTGAACATTGAACAAACGTCCAATCACTATATAATGGCGTTACACAATCGAAGGCAGGTTTGCCACCCACTCGGCGGCTGGTCAGTGCTGCCTGCCAACCTAGCAGACGCATGTTTATAACAAAGGCTAATCAGTTGGTAATGAGGGTCAAATGGTGCAATATCTAGGTAAGTATTTGCCCCACTTACGGCCACTCGCTTCTTTGTTGTTGTTAAACTGGTTTAACTTGTCGGGAAACTGAACGACCGTTGATTATCAGCGCTGAATATTGATTGTTTTTGCCGTTTTGTAAACGCATATGAAAATTTTTTGGAAAATACCTAGCTGTAATTTGCAATTTCCTTGTCAACAAAAAGAAAGTTTTGCGTTTGATGAGTATATAGTTTCTTGACATGAATTACCTACAGCATTCAAAAGTATTTACACCATATAACCAAGGTCCCACTAGAAATACTCACAAATGTTCTCTGATTTAAATGCACCCATATGATTTTCTCTATCATCTCACGGAAATAATGCCAAACATATGTTCTTCTAAATAAACAAACTGACTGTCAATCTAGGTGCCATAAGTCAATTGAAGTGACATTAAACCATTTCTTTGTCTTAAACCAAAACACTTGAACCAAGATGTGTCCTCTTTCTCTTTCATGACACACACTGATTCGCTGTGATCACTGAAAGTGACGGAGAACTTCAGTTATATATTGGCTCAAATAACATGATCACATCCTTGATATACGCATCCATACCGAAACGTTCGGCAAGATCTCTTATTTCTACCTCATTGGGTTTCAGAACATTTTAAGACGCCGATGACTTCCGCTGCATCGTTGTAATCATTGAGGATAACCACAGAGAAGTATGTGCGAGAACTAAGATAACCCTTAGTTTACTTAAGTGCTATTGTACCATTTACATGGTGTCTACCCATCTTACGGAAATATTATGCAAGAAAGTCACTTCTCATTCCTTCTTCCCAGGTTTTCCCGAACATTTCATGACGCCCGCTGCGATCACTGATCAGCAGGAGAGTTGTTCGTGATTGTATCTCCTCAGCTCCGGGCCAACTTACGTCAGAATGCCGTCATTTGAATTAACCCAACACTGGCCATTACACCTTCTCCAAATGTCAAATAAATGTTTCGTTATGGTTCCGTGCAATTGGCTGGATTCTTCATTGTTTCAACATTGGTTGCTCGATTGAGTAAATGGTGTTGAGGTGTGGCACATCCCTCTTGCAGAGTGGGTTCACTCACTTCATATTACATTTGTTGTTTCTAGTGTTTATATTTTAGTCCACTAGTTTGTGGCTACTGCACATTCTCTGTTCTGTTTATGGCTACTACAAGTTCTCTGTTCTGTTGACAGGTGGGCCCCGATGCAGGTGTCGGCACCGCCATGGAGTCCCGCTTCGGTCTCGACTACATCGTCGACAACCCCGAGTATACGGCGAAGCTCGCCGCCGGTAAGCTATTTCTGATAGCCTATGTATTATATTGACTTAAACTCTTATTGTAGTACCAAACGTATCACACCGTTTATCTATATGAGTAGTTTATAATGTAGTTGCCCAGTGGCCTCAGTGGGTTCTAGGACCTTGTCAAAGGTGAGCTACCAGGGGGGTTTTGGGCACCCCTAAGAAAGAAGGGGGGTCCAGGGGTCCTCCCCCGGATAGTTAGATATTTTCAAAACAGTTTTTTGTATTTTGAATACCATTTTTAACATCTAGAACTTTATCCAAAAAAAACCTCCGATACACTTTTAGGACGAATACAGGTTTGATTTTATTTTCCCAAGTTCCAATGGGGTAGGGGCTTTTGCCTATGTATCCCCCCCAGAACTAAAGTAAGGTAACTAAGTTTGTAATGCACTTCTGACTATCAGAAGGTAGCTAGTTTGATCCTGAAAAGACAGTAGATTTTCGATGTTCGAAACTGAACTCTGCTGATCATCGGGTGTTTAAATAAACCTGGCTTTCCCAACTGATCTTAATCAACAAAGCTATACGAATAACCCACTACATTCTTCTACACTCATTCTTCAATCAAGTTCAGCTCAAAATATGTAGGCCCTACATATAGGACGTCGCTATGTAAGTGAATTGGCAAAATATGACTTTGTTTGAGTTTCAGGCCCGATTCTAGATTTTGTTGATTTGTTCCCACATGGATAATTCCATTAGTACAAGAAGTTCGGGCAACGGAACAACCGAATGATAAGTTTACTCCTTGCGAAGTAAAATATAAGTAGGTAATAATGATAGCAGCAATCGAAAAAACAAAGGCAACAGTGGCCTGGTGCCAGCGGCTAACTTTGAACAAGTGGCAGCTGAGCGGTCAACTTTGACCTCCCAACTCAATCCGTTACCACAACACCTTTCTAAATTGGGACACTTTAAAGTTTCCAGATCCATACATAATGATAAATGAATAAGTTCCAACAATGAATAAGTTTTGCGAATGCATCTTAAGATCATAGTTCACTTTCTACGGAAAAGATTCCCTAAAACTTATTAATAAACCAATCGAATACACAATCTTCAACAGTCAAGAAAAATTTGGCTCTGAGTTGGGATGGATTTACGTGAGGTTGTAATCACTAGAGCTTAAAACAACTCCAAATAAAATACAAATTTAACAAAGCCTATTCTTCGTATTCTACTAATTGCGTTATCTTCTGTTATATTGTTGACCACTCAAGAGGACCACAAGGATTACCAAACGCTGTCTTAACCACAACATAAACTCAAATTTCTTTCACAACAAAGTAGCTTGATGTCTATTCCGTCGACTTTCACCCAACATCCTTACCCACATCGAACACGTGAACCGCGATTATCGACGTTACCTGTTCATAAATTAACCGGTCATTGTAATACATCCGCAGGCCCCGGGTCGAACAGCTGATCAAGGCGGGCGAAGGCGGGAAGCGCAATAGGTTATGTAAGGAAGGAGTTACCGTTAAGTGAGGACTGTACATGCAAGACAGAGGACGTACGTGAGCGAAGATCACGAACTGATTGTCGGAGATGTATTATGACTGGTAATGAGCTGGATAATGGCGAATGCTGCAACATGTAAACTCACATATCTTACTATTCTCTCGAGATGAGTTCGTATAAAATTGAGCTGTTGTACGAATCCCTACAAGCTAAACAAACCTCTTGGTGACATTCTGAACCAGCTCGAATAAGGATTTTAAGGTTATAGACATGATCGGTCTTGGATGGTTTAACAGAAAATGTATGATTGGAAGGATCTTGACGCGTGGAGGGTTTACTTGACTAAGTAAAAACAAGGGGATGTAACTAGGTTGGATTAAGTTAGGTTAGGTCAAGTTGGGTCAGGTTAGGTTAGATGAGGTTAGGAACCAAAGAGTTAAGAATAAAACTCTTTATCCTGTGCTAAAACCTCCCACCCACTATCACTAATCAGAGCTAATACTTCCCGATAAAATAATATTGCAATTTCCTACAAATTATTGTTACTTAAAGATCAATGGGCAATAAATACTATTGGCAGCGTAATATTTGCCCTATTACCATAATAGTAGGACCCTCTTCTTGTAAATACCCGTAAATTGTATTCAGAAGCACCGCAGTTCGCGCATACCCAGTGGAGCGGTCCAACCGGGCAGCGTTGGGCACTCGCAGGATCAGGAGGGAGTGCCCAGCGACCGCACCTACCTCATGTCAAGGACACTGTCCGCGCCGCGACATTTGCTGAAAATCCTTCATTAATCAGTCATGCCGGGCATTCACACGTCTTCTGTAATCCGATGCCACTTCTTCACTCCTCCGATAGACCGGGTCGGATATCAGAGGATCGAACTGCTCAACATGAAGAATCATTCATCATTGATCTTATACTGCATGTTGATCTTTAAAGTTTGCCGGTGTGTTTATTGCAATAATTTAATTTATGTATTCTTTGAATTATAATTTCTTCTCTATCCTAGTTGCAATTTACTTTTGCAAATGTTCTACGTCAGATGCAATTTCATTTAGAGCGTTTATACGCCTTCTAAATTTGCCATTTATTCTTTTGCTCAATCCTATCCATGGCGCTGGTGTTATCAACCTCTTATTTCACTCCATAATTCGAAAACAGAATTGATTATTTTGAGGATCGCTTCAACAACAGATTTAAAGATAAATACTGTAAACACCTTAGCTACAATTGTATCTGTAATGTTCGTCAAAGGGATGTGATCAATGACAAACCAATTAGAGTTATTTGAAAAATAATTGATTTGTTACACTTGCATGATCTGCTACCAATATGTTAAACGCGAAAAATTAGACAAGTGTAAACATAATAATTCAGAAATTGTTGTAGTTCTCTAATCTATATATTAATTTGAAACTGTTTTTCTTTGTCACAGCTATTTTGAGAGAACGGCTAGGCGTAGAAACTTGGTAGAGGTGTCTAAAGAAAGGTCTTGGTCTGTAGATGAGCCATCTAAAGAGAAACATGGTGAATTCCCTTGGGGCTCTGCCCCAGTAGCCTTTGAATTACCATCCCATGTTATTCTAATGGAGGAAAACGGGGTTTTTGTCACAGCTAATTTGAGAGAACGACTGGGCGTAGAAACTTGGTAGGGGTCTTTAAAGAAAGGTCTTGGTCTGTAGATGAGCCATCAAAAGAGGAACAAGGTCAATTCCCTTGGGGCTCTGCCCCAGAAAGTTGTCTCTTCAGATTTGTTTACATTACGACTATATGCATAATTCTACACTACTTTTTAATGAAACAGCTGTTAATATTTAAATTGTGATTTATTGAATTTGTCAAAATGAAGTACAGTATTTGCAATGGGTTTTTCTGATTTTAAAATGGATTTTCTTCTGCATCGTGTCATGTTTTGCAATATAATGTTCTATTACCAAATCAGTGGAAAATCCTATTATCACAGTAACTCTTAAAATTATTTCTTTTGGAGTTAACTTATATCTATTGTATGGGTTGGTTTCTGCCTTTTTTACCACTTCTTGGAGATTGTGCGTAGGTGATATTCGTTGGCATATTGCATCTGTAGACGAAACTTGGGTTGGTGTAATTATTAGAATGGATAAGAGTGAGAAATCCTGGACAATTTGATATAGGCTAAAAATAAAACTGAATGCTACATTTCTTGAGCAATCATTGAAATAACCAATTTGCAAACAATGGAAACATAGAAAAAGTCATAGAACACAACCAAGTAGAAGAAATAGAAATAATGTTGTTTTTCTTTTATAATCGATATCATAGACAACCTAATGCGGCTATGAGAGGGACAAATTTGTAGAAAACACTAAAAAAACAAGATCAGCTTTTTGAAAAAAGATAAGATATTTACAAAAGATTTTGATTATATCTAACTGTTGTGTAGATTGTGAGTGTTTCCATAATCTTTGAGTTGCCTGTAATGCAATTGCTCGAATTCGAGCAACAGGTACACTAGTCAACAATGAATTTGAAAACGAAAATGTTCTCACAGTGCATCAATTTTCGGTAATAATTATATAGAATTTGAAGAAAGCAGTGATTTTAGGCTGAGGTTGGAACTTGTAAATGACGTAATTATTCTTATTTTTAGAACATGTTTTACTCACACTTCGTTGAGGTCTACTTTCAAAGATTTGAGCTAAATCTGAGACAAATTTTGAGGAAGTGAAATGTGACTAAAATTGTCCTATACTTAACAACGGAACGGACCTTTAATATAGTGTTCACACATAACACTGTAAGGTTTGATCTGCTTGTAGGAAATTTTACGTGAGCTAATATACAATTTTGTTTGTCATGTATTATAACCTTAAAACGTTAAAGTATAGAACTTTGTTGCTCTATCTACACCTGTTGATTTTTAAATCCCTCTTCATCAGTGAAGAATGTAAAAGTATGAAGCAAGTATGCAAACCAGCCAAGTTACGGACAGTTGAGTTCAATGTACCAGTTGATGGGCCATTCTTCTGGCTTATGTGACTTTAACTGCCGTTTCGCAAGTTGAGAAGAGGCGCCTCCCATTCCATCGTGTCCAAGGAAACGTTTGTCCTGTTTACCAGAGGTCGCTGGCCCTGAAGACGCCCTGGGCGCTTCAACAGAAACAACTTCTAAAGACAGTGTAAACTAAAACAGGTGCTAAGTAAAAGCCATAAACGTAACAGAGATTTTTTTCCTGCACGTACCCGCATTCACGTTCTAGGTTCTAGCCCGGAACTGTTTTTACACATTTCAAGCTAGTCCTAGAGGGTCACGGCATTGGTTAAAATAAATAAAACCCATTGGTGATTGGCGGGATTTGAACCCGGGACTTTGTGCTCCGAAGCCCCGCGTTCTAGTCCAGCTCGGTCACCATAAGATAAATTAATTACGGATGTCGCATGTGACAATACGGTGGATAAGTGTATCAAGAATACCAAGATAGAATCAAAGAATCGGAAAGTCTTTTCCTTCCTTCAATTTAAAAGGAGGACAGATAAATCGCTTTTGCAGACATGTTGATAATCCTTTGTGTAAAAATGCTGGTAAACAGATTCACTAAAAACTTATTCACTCTGTTGAACTGGAACTTTTTGGCGTTAATTTAGTTTTAGGCTTGCATGTATGTGATCTTAGCTCTCTCTGTTCACACCATAGCTGGCGTTCTATTTATGTATGTCCACAACCCGGTCAAAATTGATATTTTTGGTGCGTTGAATACACCGGATAAACCGATTCACTTGCTCTCGCCCTCGGTCATCTTCGAGATTACAGTGTTCATCCACTGCCATCCCAATTCATTTTGAGATAAATAACTAGTAAAAGTAATATGGTAGTTGATTTCAAGCCGAATTGAATTAATCGTATATCTAAAACTCTAGGAAAATGCCTTCTCAAAAACATAGCGGAAGAGGGAAGGACACCTTTAAAAATAAAATCGTCAGAAACAGTCACAACAAATCTCAGCATGAACTTCTTCACTTATGTTAATGAATGTGTTCAAACTGAGAACTAATTTGTGAGCAAAGTTAGGTAACGACAAATTAGCTTTCGTTTTCACAGCTGATTTGCATTAACAGCTTCGAAGCGTGTGAGGCTTTCATAGCCATCCTCACGCCACCATATCAATACTGAGAAACGGCTTTGTTTGGGTTCTATATCAACAAGAGTATCAATTCATTAAACTTTCGTCTGTGAATATTATACTCATTACGTACCATAATTAGACACTAATTACTACAACTGTTTAAGTCTGTTTAACCCTCCCTAATATATTGGCTGGTACATAACCAAACCTTCACTTACTTCGTAGTCAGGGAGCGAGCTGGTCTACTGGTAGAGAGCGGAGCTTCAGATACTGAGGTCTAGGGTTCAAATCCCGCCAATTACTAATGAATTTTATCTTTGTGATAATGCGGCGAACCTCTAGGACTAGCCTGAAGTAATGTGTAAAACAGTTCCTGGCTAGAACTTAGCTTCCTAGGATGTAAAGGTAGGTCATAAAAAGGTCTATCATCAGGGCGGTTGACAGTTAATTTAGGTGAGCATTAATTGCGCCATCTGACTTCAGTCAGGTAGTCGGGTACAGTATTCCTGAATTGCGCCAACTACTCCAGGGAGCCGCCCGATACTTTCCTTAACTACACCGAGTGGCAGGCCTCTTTGACTGTATAATTGAGTAGTTTCGGTTAGGTTAGGTTAGGATATGTTAGGTTAGGATAGGTTGGGTTAGGATAAACACGTAAACAAGGACATTTCTTCTGCCGGCAGCCCCTACCTGGCTTGAGCTTGGCGCAATTAAGGAACTCTTTGGCGCAATTAATGCACGATCATGTGACCAATTTACGTCAATGTTCTCTGGCGTTGCCCCCTTCCAGGATAGGCTACATCAGCATCTATGGAGGATTTTTAATATTATGATTAACTCAACTGACTCAACTCATCAGATTTAAGACGCATACAGAAATGTGCAAAGAATCGTAAATTACTCAAAAATGAAGGTGATTTGACATTATTTTATAATTTCAAATTCAAACAACTAAAGCACGATCAAGTCTCGACTGTAGAGACGAGTCTATCACTTTCTCCTTTGACTCTCGTTGTCGTTTGTCGTTTTGTTGTCGTTAGTTTCTCGTGATGATATCCCTCGTTACTCCCTGACCCCGCGTCACTAATCATACATACTCGACCGCTTACAACCTCTCGTTTTCAACAATCGCTTTGCCTAATGTTTCAATCACGATGGCCGGATCGCCCAATAAGAGCGAGTTTCTGCAATCAGAATTATGGAATCAAATCATATTACCAGTGAGTTATTGGTAAGTAATTTAATTGATATTCAAATGGATGAATGGATTGGGAGCAATGTTTCATTTGGATTGGTTGTAGTAGATTAGGTTAACGGTATTAAAAATAAAAGGTTGATTGAGGAGTAATTGTTTTACAGTTCATGAATTTATTGTAACCGGTTGTATGTTTAGCATGATCAGTGTTTTAAAAATGAAGAAATATATTTTATAACTTCACTTGATTATAACTTAATTTGATTACAATCATTCATCAGACTTTTAATTAACAATAGTGGCTACCCTAACAGGTCTTAGTCAGTAATAAACAATACTAGCCTATTCAACTTACAATATTGACCTAGAATCACCACACTTCAGTGAAAATAAATAAACCCCGTTTTAAGAATTCCTCCATATGTAAAGAAAGCCCTATTTTTATTGAGTTGTTAATCCTCGCAATGATGGTACTGACCTTATTGTAATCACAGGCTTGTTTTTGAAATCAAACTCCAGGTTCTGCTGCAAGCATCAATTATCAGCAACACCAATCCTTTTTGTTCATATTTAACATAAAAATAAGAAGCCAAAAACAGTCACGCATGCGACGAGTATAAACGAAGGAAGCGACGTAGATGTAACTCAGTTCATATTGATTAACATCACGCTCTTCCTTCATAAACCCCTTCTTTTAGCACACAAACCTTCTTCACCTCTTCAAAACCCACCGTACATAACTTTGCACAATTTCACACTTCCCGCCACTTTCCACTCCAGCGGCAGAATCAGCTGATCAACCCGGCAACGATCAGCTGTTCGGACGCCAACCACGTTGTGACGGACGATGTCCTTCGGGGGATCTCATGGCATATTTGTCTTTCGATCTCACTTTCCCTGCGACCGCGAACACTTGTGCTCACGACGGCCCCGACCTCCGACCTGAACTTTCACAATATTGATACTTGGCTGGGACAATGGCCATTGGTCGAACTGGCGAACGTACACTAATTGCTAATAAACGGACCATCGTGTCTTGGACGTTTCCTCTTGAAATAACTTTTCAATTTTAGACTCAACCGTTTGTTTGTGTTCGGATTGTTTCAGCAGTTGGTATAGCGATAAGGTGTTGAAGTCCTCATCTTTGCTGTTACCATGCAATACCTATAGTTTGCCAGGCAAAGACATAAAAAGGCAATAATTTATCAGATTATGTATTATAAACTAACTGTTAGCTGAGTTGGGATTGGTTATCGTGCATGCCTTGCAGTCAGAAAATAGTCGGTTCGATCCTGCCTAGTGCCGAAGCATGTAGCTTCTAATTATTTGAAAACTTACCCAGCTTTCAAATATAATTGGGCATTTAAAAAATGACCCTGCCTATAGAATCGAATATTTCACGTATATTCAAGTTGAAAAACGTAGAATTGTGCCCCTCTATGATGATGTAATTATGAAATATTTATTTAAATTTTGAAACCATGCATCTAAGATAGCATGATTGATTTAGTTTCATTCCCGGAGCTTAACCAACGCTAACCACATCACAACTACATCCACGAATCAAAGGTCACTTACTCTTAGGTGCATCTAGTCTTAGATGCACGTAAATCAGTGGCAATCGTAGTGAAAAATGAATGATCCAATATTCATATCAGGAACGAGAAAGATTCAATGAACTAAGAAGTGCTGAACCAAACAACTGAAACTGAAACAGCCAACAAGTCAATCAAGGAACCTCCACTTCAACCTGGTGGACCTTACAACAGGTAGAACACTTGTATTAGCCAACACTACAGCTACACCACAATACCTCCACGGGGGCAGCGGCACTCGGCACTCGGCAGCACCGCGGGAGACCCACGACCTTACCAGTGATCAAGAGTTGAGACCTCTATTATGAGGTCAACAAAACACTACTTCTGATACATGTAGTGTTTCAAAAACCCCGACAACTGAGGTAGCTTGTTATTGTTTATCGAATTACATTTGTTTCATCTGAGCTTATTAGGTGTATGACGTTCAAGGGTAGTGAATGGAAATTAGCAAAAAATTAGTTTTATTGCGTCAATATTTTTAATTAATCGTGGGATATTCTGAGCGACCAAGTACACTCCTGAGTTATTAGGTCACAAACAAAATACCTCCTCCGATAATAGCTCTGTAAATCAATAGAAATGTTCCGGTTGTAGATTATTCATTTGGTTTAACTTGTACATGGTTTTGGTGTGCTTGTTGACCAAAATTATTCATTCCATTTTCAACTAAATTGGTAAAATATGGCTTCTAACTATTAGGCTGCTAAAGCCTTAGTAGAGAATTCTAATAAAGTTATTCATGTTTCAGCATTGGACACGACCAATGTGACGGTGAAGAAGCAAGTGTTCGAGCTACTATCGGCCCTCTGTGTCTACAACAACGACGGCTACGAGCGTGCTTTGGACGCCCTCGAACACTACAAGGTAACTATGGACAAATCTTTATATATTAGAATACAAGTTAAAGAGATTATAAGTCTTTTGTAGAGAATCAACAAAATTTCTTTAAAATTGTCTTTAGTTCGAGTTTTAGATTATAACTTATCTTCTTGGCAACCTGGTTTGATTAGACCTGATGATGAAATGTGAATATTCAGTTATTAAATGTGTAGACTAAATGTTTACACATTACAATAAAATTCATATCTTGATTGCCGAGTCCACCTCTATCTCGTACAGTCCATGCAAGTCTAGACTTTACAAACATGGTCAAATTGGCTTACAGAACTGGCATTAAACTATACTGTTAACTTACGATAAGTCTTTTATCGAAGAAGATGGAATCAAGGTTCGCTTCTTTTCCTTAAGTTAGTAAATTCGCCTTTATTTTCATGAATGAAAGATACATTTTACGGAAAGATTCGTACCGTAGCTCCAGGGGTTAATAAGGGACGCGATGTTACCTATTATTATCATGAATTTATCTTATGACAACATCCCAAATAATTTGAAAGCAAATTCACTACTAACCCAGTAATGACGAGGAAAGAGGAACAACATGTCTGATTTGAAGTGTGACTAGCAAATAAATCAGAAGCATTGTAAAATAATGATTGTTGGCTTTAACTTGCTTGAATATACGGAGAATCGAATATTGTATGTAGCTCTAGCAGTCGAGACGCCAATCATCACACCCTCGACGCATCACACTCAAACTAATAGCGAAGTTATAGGGAAGTTTTCAACCATCCGTTTCCTCCAGCTTTACACCGCAGACCAGTGGGACAATATTAGACTATAATCACTATGCAGGAGACGCCGCAGGACCCAGGGTGTTTCTGTTGATTACAATTCCGTCGGCGAGAAGTCGTGGGTCAGTAAACCCCAACAAAGACCTCCCGGTCAAAACGTGCTCAAAATCTCACTTAGGGTCTTAGTGTTTCCATCTGTCTGTCCACTCGAGTCTGTTCTGGTAGTTTTGAGAGGATTTTCAAGACACTTGACAAACAACATGTAAAAGACAAAGCAACGAAAATGATTTGTGAGTGAAGAGTTTTTGTCCTAGGACGCTAGGCACGAGCACGGGATTGTTTATCACTTACTTCAGGCTAGACGTAGGGGTGCGACATTATCACGTAGACAAAATCGTTGATAAATAGTTGATTAAGGTACTGCACATTGGGAAACCTTAATCTAAAAAATTCTTTGGTATAAAGCCCGTTTAATGTACTTCTAACATTCTTCTAAAATGCATTACGAAACATGCAGTCTTTTAAGCCGGGTTTTCCTAGGCGCGTAGTCGGCCAGCGGAGAGAGGAACGCGGAGAGCGGACTCAGCTGGTCTTAGGTAATTTAATGTTACTGTTTTCCTAGCAGCGGAGCGGAATGCCATGTTAATTTCAATTCCGCTCTCCGTTGTCCGCTCTCCGCTGGCCGACTCCGCGTCTAGGAAAACCCAGCTTTACAATGAGTTCCCAACAACCATGCAACAATGTTTATCAGCTGATCGGCAATAAACTAAAGAAAACACACCCTAAAATCATTGACTATACACATAATAGACTTCCCATGTAATTTAAAATTTGAAGCCAACAAACTTGGTGCAACCTGTTGAGATGGTCTACCTACTAATGACAATATTCTGTGTCAAGTGATAAATCAATGTCTTTTACAATGAGTTCCCAACAACCATGCAACAATGTTTATCAGCTGATCGGCAATAAACTAAAGAAAACACACCCTAAAATCATTGACTATACACATAATAGACTTCCCATGTAATGTAAAATTTGAAGCCAACAAACTTGGTGCAACCTGTTGAGATGGTCTACCTACTAATGACAATATTCTTTGTCAAGTGATAAATCAATCAGCTGTGACAATTTTGTCTATGATGATACTGCATGGATTTGAATTAACATTATTATCAACCCAATACACTAGTACACTCTGGTGAGATGGTTCTGAACCTCGCCAATTTTCTGGGCTTCAAATTCCTACATTACATGGGAAGTCTATTTTGTGTATAGGCGATGCTAAAACACATGTGCTTGTTTTGTCGTTAAAAAGTGTCCTACATTCTTATAATTTGAGTTAAAAATACCCTGTACATAACAACATTGTTTTATCCTTGTGGAAAATATAATAATTGACATAAGAATTGAGACGAAGATGTCCTGAACTTTTCTGTATAGTTTCTTTTGTGCCAATCGTCTGTTTGTTTGATTTATTTATTCACAAGGGCAATGAATTCAATAATTTGTATGGTTCACAGAAGCTGAAATGTGGGAGATACCGACTGAAGGTGGTGGTGGACGAGCTACAAGTCGCCACAGCCGTCGACTACCAGACGGTTCTCGTGGCGTTCCTCAACTGCCTCATCATCTCTACTCCGGACCTCAAAGATCGGATCAGGATCCGGAACGAGTTTATAGGTGAGTCGTCTAGATTCAAAGTTATATAATTATTTTAGTTACTGAAGGAGGCATCTCTTAAGAACCAGCTAAGTCTTTTTAGCGAATTTCCCATATAGGGAATAAGCTATTACCGTAGGTCTCATGGTAAGACCTGGACCCGGGGCCAGTTTACTTTTTTCATTTTTATGTCTTCAGAGATAATAAACACTGTCCGTTCAAATTCATAAATATATATATTTGTGTATGTCCATTATATATAACTCAAACAAAACGATCCGATTTTGATGAAATTTGGTACAAACGTTTAAACCTACATAATGGAACGGGTTCGCGAGCCAGCGTGATCCGACCGCTTATAAAATATTACACTTATAAAAGTAGACAAATATTTGACTCACACGCAAACATAACATATTTATTTTTACTAGAGTAAACATATCGCAAAAAATGCTGTTTAATTTGTCCCAAGAAAGCTTTAATGCCAAGCATTTTACATTGCCACCAGGTGTGCCAACCCGATTCATATTTTTTTAAAACTTTTCCCAGTCAGATTTATGATTTGAAAATGCTTCTTACAAATATGGGACACCAAAAATTGAATCTTTTCGTCCTTTTGAAAACTACTAAAACAACCATATGACATTTTCCTGTAAGTAATGGATTTCAATTTAGATGCATTGACTCGGCTCTTGCTTTGAAGATCCAACTCATAAATTTAAACAAAATTTCATCTCTTCAAAAGGTTAGCAATGCTAGAGTAGAATAAGGTAAGGTCACAGACTCTAGAATACTATAATGAAGGTTCACAATCCAGTTTCCACAGCGCCTTCAATACTTTCTACGTGAAATTGCGGCACATCCGCTATGCATTTCAGCATCGTGCGACCCGAAGGAGTCGACTTGTTTAACTGATTTAACTGTTTCTTCGTTTTCCATCAAGTAGGCCTAGAAGCAACTGGATTAATTACTGACATTTAAATGATTTAATAACAAGATACACCTGAAATGAGGAGCGTGATATTGTCCTTTTAGTTTTTTCCAAAGCCCTTGACAATTTAAAGATCAGAATATCTTCGGAAGAGTAAGTATTGACTGTTCTGCGGTGCAAAAACAATAATAACATAATCGTGTACACGTTTTTTTTGTTGTTGTTTGAATGGGTTTGCTCTTTTATAGACTTGTTATCAATTATATTCTGACTGACAGCAGATTAAAAAGCATCGAAAACACTGTAATGATTTGTCAAATTAAGTTATGTAACTGAAGTCTTAGAAAAGTTTTTCTAAACAATGTTATTTTTGTTATGAAAATACAACAAGTTTAGTATTTTCCGTGACAACTATATTAAAAACTACGAAGAAAGTCTAGCTAGACCGATTTTGCAGTGGATGGAGTGTAGATAAAAATACAACTCTAGTGCCTCAGTTCAAAGAGTTATGTCAACTGCTTGGACATAACTTTACCTCTTCTTGAATGTTTAGTACACAGACAGTTGTTATGTCTTAATGTCTTGTACTTTATACTTTATACTTTCTTATGAAATGGAAGTTGTTTTTTGCTTTGGCAAAACAACAAAAGAGTCACTTTTAAAAACAATATAATTTAATGCGTTATGTGTGTAAAGCGCGAATTGTGCGTGTCATCTATATTGGTCGTGGTGTACCGTGTTGGTCGTGTTGTACAATGTTGTAACGAGTGGCACCATATCGTCCGTGTTGAACCGTGTTGTACCTTGTTGTACCTTGTTGTACCGTGTAGTACCGTGAAGTACTGTGTCGTACCGTGAAGTACTGTGTCGTACCGTGTAGTACCGTGAAGTACTGTGTCGTACCGTGAAGTACTGTGTCGTACCGTGTAGTACCGTGAAGTACTGTGTCGTACCGTGTCATCTATGTTATGTTGGTCTGCGTGTACCGTGTTGGTCGTGTTTGTACCTTGTTGTGACGTGTCGGACGTGTTGCACGTGCACGTGTGAGGGCCAGGTGGTACAGGAAGTCCAGTCTGCAGACGTGTTTGTAAACACACACACTGATGTGTGGTCGGCGATAACGTGGAGATCGAAATGACCAACATCTTTAATCTGCTCCACCGAGCTCCTCCCCAACCACTCAACACTCAACACTCTATACAACACTCTATACAGTACACAACTACTGTAGCTGTCAAACTCCACTCGCCAGACTCAAAATTATCTCCACAGTGAACCTCCCAGTGAGGAAATAAATAATGTTTTATTAAATGTGTACAATGCAGTTGTCTGCTTGCAATTAATAGATCATGTTTTTATTAATAAATTGTTGAAACGGTAATTGATTTTTGACTTTAGACTACCGTCACACATTTATATATAGTCTAAATAACTATATAACTATTGAAATAAATGTTGCTCATCACGTGTTAATTTTTTTATTGAAAACGTGTTGTATAATAAACTAGAACTAGCACTGTTCATAATTCACTCTGTCATAATTATTTAATTATTCATCGATCTTTATGAATCTATAAAAAAATATGGAAATATAAATATACATAGTAAAACTGTTCCTAATTTATCACCCTTTTTAAGGGGAGTGTTTGGGTAAGTGTTAAGTGTACATGACGAATCTTCACGACACCAGGGATGAATAGGATTTTCCAAACTACTCGGTCAACATTATTAATTAGTAATTAGGTTTGAAACCGTGGTCGCTAGACAAAAACAAATCATCAGCAATGCAACATTTTTATTAATAAGATAACATGATCTAGAGGCTATAAAAAATGAATTACTTCAACTGAAAGTATTTTTTATGTTATTAAACTTGTTAATTATGTTGCAGGACTGAAGCTGTTGCCTGTGCTCAATGAACTTAGGTAAGAGATTAACTTACATACGTTTATGTCATGTTCGTACAATTTAAAACTTCGCATTTGAAGTTAAAACTACAGACCGAAGTGCTCGAGTAGCCTTGAAGTCGCCAAAGTTCTTTTTTGCCTATCCATCTATAATGACTGGATGGATTTCATACTTTATAAACTGTACCCAACTGTGCTTTTTAATCTGCGTTAATTAGATTACCCTTGTTGTTGATGTAGGTATGTTTGTGTTGCAACTACAGGCTGTAACAACAAAAGTAATCTAATAAAGTTCGCGAAACTGTAACAGAAAATAAAAATCTATGTTGTCTTGGCCTTACATTGAGTTTTAAAAACCTCTATTAACGTCCTACTCCAGAACAATATATATGTGTAATGTGTTGTGTTATTTTATTTTAATATCAGGACTCTAATAGTATAAGGTAAGTGCTGAGCTTTATTCCTTTCAAAAATCATTTACCAGCCGATAGTGTAGGAAAATCCATTTGACCAAGAATCAAAATAGTTATCCTTCGCAATCGTAATTATGAAATTTAAAATGGCAATCTCATTTTTTTATACTCGTCCTCCTCTTCTTCGAACATCCATGTCCGGTGTTTCCTTCCATGTTTTTTAAAGCATTAGCTCCCCTCCTTTTCGGTAATTTAGTCTGTAAGCCTGCTCGCCTTAAAATCTTATGATTTCTGGTTCGATCCCGATTAGAATATTTTTTACTCTTGCACAATTTTGGGATACAATTACTGTATAACAAAAGAAAAGGTCAACGAATGATTACCAGAACACGGTTTGAACCTCTCATAAAACACAAGGAAACGTGCGTGTGTGTGTGTGTGCGTGTGTGTGAGCTGGAAGCGCGTGCCGCTACTTCGGGATAAACATAGAACTGATTCCAGTCTGATTCCAGCTCCAGCAGCAGAAGTTGCGACAGGTATTTCTTATCACTTTCATCTCTTTCAGTCTTATGTTGTTTGTTTTAGCCGAGTGTTTCTGTTTTGTTTTCTTTTCAAACAATATCAGCCGAAGATATTCACGGGGATTTATTACTTCCCAACTTCCAGCTGATGTTGGTTTTAGTTTTTGAAATCATTTTGTAAAAAACTATCTCAAACAGTCAAGTTTTGTGGGATATTTTCAGTTGTGTCGTTATTGGGAATATTGATAATTCTTTTGTATCTATTTTAAAAAAAGCTCTGAGTACCTAGACAATTTGGAAACAATGTTAAATCGCAAAAGCCATCGTCGAGATCGGCCGTTTAATTATATCGTGTGACTTGAAACTTTTCAACTAAATAGGAATTGGATGTCCACTAATTTTTTTCTTCTTTTAGGATTAAACATATTAATTACTAAATCCAACTTATGAACAATATTATAAAAAAAAACCAAATAAATGGTGTGCAAATTTACGGATAATGTAGTAGTAGGCTCAACAATTTTCTCAGACACACAATCCAAAATTTGTATTTCCCTAAGGCACATTAGGCATACAAATATTATATTACGACATCGTTGTGAATTTGGATTGAAAAATTTTACTTAAATCTATAAGTCCAAGTTTAAAATAAAAAACTCAAATGTATAAGCAGTTAATAGGCATAGCTCTGTTATTACTAGGCACCAATTTGAGTAGTAATATTAAAAAAAAAAAATTAATCGGACATGAATTTTACGATGAATTGGATCAGAATTGCAAGGCCCAAACTTAACTAACACAATGAAATTATTCAAAACAAAGCCGTTGACTTAAGATATTGAAACATCTCACTCTGATGCTTTAAAATGGTCCTGGCACGTGAAACAGCTGGTCTAGTCAAAAAGGTACACAAGGTATGTCAGCATTTCAGTACATTTCTACACTCTTCCTTCACTCATATTAATTTGGACATATTGGCCATGCACATATTGGGCGTCCCCATCTCAATTGATAATAATATAATTTAGTTTCGCTTAACCAAATTCAACACAATACTTCAGATAAACACTATTTACTACTGATGTTATCCGAAAATATCTTCATGTAAGATGTGCCTCGTTATTTAAGGATTAATTTTATTTTCAAAATGTCCTATCTTTCAAAATACCGCCTTTCAATTATTTATTATAATCTATTAACAAATTGGACATTGCTGATTCAAAAATTTACTTTTGTAGTTTGTTTTGAATTCATCATAATTTTACAATGACTCCTGGACATTATTTGTAATTATTTTAAACGCAAGATTAATTTTGTTTTTCTTAACGTCGCCGAAAATAACGACAGAAGTAGTTTTGTATCGAGCTCGAGCATAAATGCTATACTACTTATCAAGGATTTTCTATTAGGAAAATTATTTACTTATGAAGATTAGATTGTTTTGGGAATAAAATGTAGGCCAAGGTATCTTCTCAGTAGTTGGTGTGGGTGTCCAGACATTATTAATGAAGAGTAGGGACACATGTGCCTATCCTGAAAATAACTAGCCCAACATAAAAAATTACTATAGTAGTTTTATTAAAATGTTAACAAACCTACGTTATTTTCTCCTGTTCCATCCATTGATTAAAATATATTAGATAAAAGTTATTTTCACAATTTAGTTAACAATCACTTACTAAAACAACGTACCAAATACCCCAGCGAATTAACGCTAGGTAAAATAATGGTAAAATTCACTTGATCAGCCAACAATAAAATAATTTGTATCGCCGCACTTGTAGAGACGCATAGAGAGAGACGACAATGGATCAGCTGTTCAAAAGTAAATAAAGAGCTGACTCTAGGTTAAGTGTTTTCAGTATCAATGTCAATAGTCAATACTCATTGGTTCATTCGTGATTTGTGTCTTTGTAAATTTACTACATCCAGGACAAATTTCCGCCATTTGCACATCGTAAAGTACGAGGCAATCAGCTGATCGGCTGAGTCAGAGAGTAAACAGGTCCTTCAGGACGAATTTACTCGACAAATTCCTCTTTAATGACACGATTTCCTCGGCATAATGAGATTTTGCTGGAGATCTACCAAGGCGATGGTGACAAGATGCATTTCCTGTTCGTCTCCAGCTGTTTAAAATAGTTCCAGTGTCTGCTAGTCGCGAACCTGGCGCTTGGCCAGGACTCCAAGGTTGTGTTGTAGAACTCCACGGACGGTATTTTGCCGCCCACTGTAACTTAAGGATTTTTTATTTTGTTTTAGAAGTATTGTATTGGTAATGGATTTAATTCAAGGTGGAGCTATTACATATCACGCAAAAACAGATTAAAAGCTGTGCTTTAATATCCTACCTCTAATACCGGTACCGGTAGGCAAAATGAATTGAAAACTTAAAGATAAGAGGAGAGCGCACTCCGCACCGCACTCCGCTCTACGCACTTCTCCTAGGAATTAAACGAATTTCATTGATTAATCAATGCGTGAGTGGCTAGGACAATAAGTCCTTCCATCACAATCAATGGGAGATTATAGACGAAAACATAACTTCTCTTCTTAGAAGTTATGAGTAGTGAATTTTAGCACAGAAAACGTACTACTATATTTTAGTGACTAGTGTACATGTTGCTCGAATTCGAGCAATTTTAAAGTATTACAGGATTTGCAAGCCAATAACAATCATACTTAGCTATCAACATTTCAACAAAACACACCTACCTTCCCTGTAGCAGCAAACCTAAGAACTCATATTAAAGTTAACTTAATGTTATTTAAATAGGAAAGAAAAGACCATTTTCAGGGAATATCTTTGTATAAATTTAGCCAGGTAAATGGAAACTCGCTTAGTCTGAAGGTTTGCTGCGGATACGCAATTTTAATAACAGCAATGATTGAAGAATCTGAATTATTACTTATATCCATGAATTTATTGGACAATTATTTCCTGTAAAATAGTATTACAGCAGTTCAAAAATATTGAAACAAACTCGATCAACAAATGATGTAACTGAAAGAATTCCATACTAATGACATTAACATATAGTTTGACAGTTCCATTTAATCAATGTTAAATGTTTACATTCGGGCATAGACAAAAATGATTCGGGCGAGTGACATATTTTATTAATGTTTATGATCCCTACCGTTCCTGTTCTAATAATCATGCAGTATTTAATATGTTTGGACCAGCTGTGCGGAATTGTGAAATCAAAATTAATTTGACAGTTAGTTCTGCTTGTTTACGTTTTAAAATTTTGTGGGTTTGTTCTTTGTTACCATGGATACCATCAATACATATTTTACTTTTAATTTCTGACAACAGCTGGAGTTCCATAACAAATTTTGTTTCCCATGTTAATCTTATGGATAAATACGAAACTTTAAAGGGCACCAGGGCCTCACGCTCTAATTATTTCCTTAAAAAGAAAGTTTCCTGCACAACTTCAAGTTACGCTCTTTCCAATGACACCAAAAACATGTCAATCGGTTCAGTAGCTTCGGAGGAGTAATTGTCACAAAAAACCTGCTTGCGTATTAAATAAGTACTAGTGTCCCTGTTGCTCGAATTCGAGCAATTGCTAAGTATTAGAGGCGTTATTTTAAAACGAACTTCAACCAAGTCAGCTTTTTTATCCTCGAAATCAAAATATGTCCTTACTCACTTGTTCCATGTTAGGACTTTACATTCTACTTTACATTGTTGTTAACCGTTCTGATAACATGAAGCCTTGTGCCATTAAAAGGTACTTGGCTTGGTGCTTTCATAACTGAAAACTCAAAATACACCCACAAGTAAAAAAGAATCAAGTCATTGGTTAAAAAAACAATGTTTGTGTAAAAATCTTTGACATTATTAATTCATTAGAAACGAAACAGCTGATCGAGAAATCAAACAAATCATCTACTTCATGTGAATCATCATGAAGTAGATGATTTGTTTGATTTCTCGATCAGCTGTTTCGTTTCTAATGAATTAATAATGTCAAAGATTTGTGATTTTAAATACATCAATTATTATAGTAAAGTTTTCTAAATATGGCAACTTATTCTCAACTAAATTTTAAAATTCCCAGCATGAAAATGAAGT